TTAACTAAAAGTTAAAATTTATGTGGGAACATTGATAAAAGTGAGGTTAATTTTTCTTTGAAAATCTTTTTGACAAAATCTTAGAATAAATTAACAGTGAAAACTTTTCTTTTTGTTGCATTCTGTTGTTGAAACCAATTAGCTCCAAGAAATAGGAACTCCACACCTCGGTGTAGCGGTTTCACCGCAAACGATGCCTGAGACGTCGATATCTGCCAGTTCTACAGAAAATGTGGACGCTTTAAACTCAAACCAAACTACTGAAAATAATTGGGAACTCGTTACAGGAAGAAAACGCTCAATGGACAATAACAGAGACCCAAGAAAAGCTAAAAAGGTAAGTGAAGTTACAACAGTAACCACTAATAGTTTTGAAGTTTTAACTAACATTAGTGACGAGTCTGATGCTACCACTAAGCAACCAGTTTCTGTAAAACCGCCCCCTATCCACTTGAATGATGTACAGAACTACACCGAACTGGTCACATTTCTCCAAAATGTAGGAGGTTTGAACAGCTTTAACCTAAAATCCACATCAAGAGGAGTAACCGTATATCCTGAAAACTCTGACACATATAGACGTATAGTAGCTAACTTAAGACAGGTAGGTGCCGATTTCCATACCTATCAGTTAATAGAAGATAGAAATCCAAGAATCGTATTAAAAAACTTACACCATGCTACTCCAATTGAAACCATAAAATACGAATTAAAATGCCTAGGCTACGATGCCACAAGTATTGTGAACGTTATTTCCAGATACAAAAATCCACTTCCCATGTTCTTTATCGATATCTCTAAAGCCACATTTAATGAAAAAATTTTTGATATCAAATTTTTATACTATACTAGAGTGAAAATCGAAGAGCCAAGAAAGAAAAGAATGATTCCACAGTGCACCCGTTGTCAGCAGTATGGCCACACAAAGGCTTACTGCAATCACTCCCCGAAGTGCGTGAGATGTGGCCAAGGACATGATAGCACCGTCTGCACAAAGACAAGAGAGACCGCAGCAACATGCGCGAATTGTAGCGGATCCCATCCAGCAAATTATAGAGGTTGTGCAACTCTAAAACAACTGAGGGAAGTACGCAATCTCCGTAAAAATATACAAAGTCCCCAAAAAGCACAAACTAGCGCACCCCCAGGTATAGACGAGTTTCCTTCTCTTCCGCAAAGTCAGCATACCGCAAATTCAGGTTCTTCAAAACCCGATTCTCAATATCTAGGACCAAAACTGCGAACTTCTCCTACAGAAGTCCCAGAAAATCACCTTCACCAGCCAAAGCATCCAGAAATGAAAAAGGGCATTACTCAACCGCCACTACCGACTTACAATCACCCGGCTTCAGCTCAGCTCTTCAACTTGGTAAGTGGATTGAATAACCTCATCCAGCCTCTTTTCAGCCTTCTCCAAGAACTGTCTCACGTTGCACAAGCCTTATCCTCCAGTTATGGCTACTAATCGGCTGACAGTGGGCTCCATGTCCGTTCTTCTCTGGAACGCAAATGGTATAAACCAACACAGGACTGAACTTGACATGTACATACATGAAAAACGGACTGACATTGCTCTCATCACTGAAACACACTTGACTCCACATTCTAAATTTTACATTCCAGGCTACAAAATATATAGAACTGACCACCCTGATAAGACGGCACATGGCGGTACGGCAATACTGATTAAGCAATCACTAAAACACAACCCTTTACAATTACCCATTACACCTGACATACAATCCACAGCAATTACTCTGTATACCCAGCACCATACCATTACCTTCGCTGCAGTGTACTGCCCTCCGAGATACGTGCTAACATCTGCAATGTTTTACAATTTTTTCCAACATCTCGGTCGGTGTTTTATTGCAGGTGGTGATTATAATGCCAAACATCAGTCCTGGGGATCACGACTCTGTACTCCTAGAGGAAGAAATCTAAAGTCTGCCATCGATCAGCTTTCATTAAACACGATCTCACCTGATACACCTACTTACTGGCCAACTTCAAGACAGAAAACACCAGATTTACTTGACTTTTTCATTACTAAAGGACTCAGGACAGTGCCGTATACTGTAACTGCAAGCTCTGATCTTTGTTCTGATCATTCTCTTCTCAGTTTGGTACTATGCGATGAGCCTCGTACTGCATCAAAAAAACCAACACTTACAGATAGGATAATCGATTGGAAAGCTTACAGCGACTACTTAAATTCGACGCTATCAATCCCAATGTCCCTTAAGACCGAAGAGGAACTCGAAAAAGCTGTTGATAAGTTCACAATCAGCTTACAACAGGCTGTATGGTCATCATCTGTACCAAGACCTAGCAGAAATACGTCTCTTCCAATCTATCCGCAGTACATTAGAGACCTGATCAGAGCAAAGAGAAGAGCGCGCAAAGTGTGGCAGACTGGTCGACTTCCATCTGACAAACGGACTTTCAATAGACTTAACAATGAACTTAAACGACAGATTCAGAATTTTAAAAGAACGAACTACGACAATTACCTCAAAAATCTTTCGACTGACGATGGAAGCTTATGGAGACAGACTAAGAAACTTGTAAAGCATTGTGAGGTGTCATCACCACTCCGAAACGTAGATGGTTCCTGGGCTGTGTCAGACCTTGAAAAATCTGAGCTCTTTGCCAACCATCTTTCTTCTGTTTTCATACCACATACTGACTTCTCTAATACTGATCACGAAAGACATGTACAAAACACTTTAGACATTCCTTTACAACTGTCATTACCTCCACTTTGCTTCACTCCCACTCAAGTTGCAGAACAAATCAGACAGTTACCTAAAAAGAAAGCTCCCGGTCATGACCTGATAAATGCTCAAGTGCTCCAGAAAATGCCAAGGAAAGCTCTAGTATACCTAACATCAATTTATAACGCAATACTCAGAACGACTAAATTCCCCTTACAATGGAAATACTCATTCATAAAAATGATTCACAAACCTAACAAAAACACTGACTTTCCTTCATCATACAGACCCATCAGCTTGCTCCCATTATGCTCTAAAATCTTTGAGAAACTTCTCTACAAACGACTTCTTGACATACTGACTACTGAAAACATAATACCTGAACATCAGTTTGGATTTCGTTCACACCACTCAACCATTCATCAGCTACACCGAGTGACAGACTACATTGCGACAGCACTAGAGCACAAATTATATGCAACAGGAGTATTTCTGGATGTTGCTCAAGCGTTCGATAGAGTCTGGCATCAGGGACTTCTTTTCAAACTTAAGACTATACTCCCTCCAACCTACTATCTTATTCTTCAATCTTTTCTTTCTGACAGATTTTTCTCTGTTTGCCAAGGTACAGAACTATCTACCATTAAACCAGCCCTAGCAGGGGTGCCTCAGGGGTCAGTACTCGCTCCTCTGTTGTATATTATTTACACATATGATATTCCAGATCCTCTCTATACTCTGACCGCGACTTACGCAGACGATACAACAATCTTGACAAGACATCAAAATTCAGCATACGCCTCACAGACTTTACAATATCACCTAAACAATTTCTACGACTGGTGCAAACTCTGGAAAATTCGACTCAACCTTGACAAATCACAACATATCACTTTTACCCTTCGACGTGAAACTTGCCCCCCTATTTACCTTGACAATATCCAAATTCCTCAGACAGACAAAGTTCAATATCTTGGACTGACCTTTGACAGAAGAATGACATGGGGCCAACATATCAAAAACAAAACAAAAACTTTAAACCTAAGACTACGCCTATTGTACTCACTCCTTGCAAGAAATTCGAAATTAAAACTTAGACAGAAATTGAATACATATACTTACCTACTCAAGCCTATTTGGACCTACGCTTTACAGATATATGGGACAGCCAAAAAGACTCACATACGTAAATTACAGACTTTTCAATCTAAAACTTTCAGGACTATTACCAAAGCTCCCTGGTACGTCAGTAACATTACTCTACATAAAGACTTACAGATGCCAACAGTTAACGACCACATACGAACATACTACAAACGATTCCATAATAACCTACACGGACATACAAACTCATTGATTCGAGGCATGGCCACAACTAACATGCCCGATAGCACCCGAAGGAGGCTTAAAAGAAGCTGGATGAGGGATCTCCTCCACTAACTAGAAATATTACGCTCAAGACAGGAAGGACGCCGCTGGGTACTCCTCTCCCTCACGCCTATTCCAAGACCAATCTCTTCATCTTGACATCACACTCGCTGATTGTCGGAACTTCTGACAGGTGTGAGTTGAAGAATCAAGTCAAAAAAAAAAAAAAAAAAAAAAAAATTTATGTGAAAAAGAACAAAAGTTACAAGTTAACATTGTCTTTAAAAAAGCCAGAATTTAAAGCAAAGTGAGATTTAAAATATAATAATAACAATAAAATCTTATTAGAAACAACGTAAAATAATTTTTGTACTCACCCAATGAAGTAAGTTGACACACCAGATATTTGTTTTTCTTTCTTTCTTTATTATTTTTTTTTTTATTGTAGAAATTAAATTAAATAATTTGAACTATGTTACTTATGTAGAAATAAATCAGTTTTAAGTAATATTTATATAAAAATTTTAAAGAAAATTATTGCTTCCTTACAATAAGTGGTAGGGTTGTCAGAAAAAATGTACCCAGAATAAAAAAAATTGTATTGTATTTTACGTTTTAGACATCTGAGAACAAATATGGCTGTAGTTTAATCGATTTGATAAGCATATCATCTACTACTGTTGATTGCCAAGATAGTTCTAGATATTTTGCTGATATTGGATCTGAGAAAGCATTTCATTTGGAATTTGAGAATAAAAGATGACGAAAAGAAAATAATTTTTTAATATTTCTGCAAGCCCTCCAAATATCACAGAATTCGTTTAAAAAAAAGTATTTTGCAAAACAACACTTATTATTAATAATATAAAATTATTCTATGCTGAAAGTTATTTATTTAATTTTAGATTTACTTACATAGAAAACCAATCAGGAATGTCCAAAGCCTCATGTTGCATTCGCCAAATAGCACTGTTTTGTCAACTATATAGATTAGTCTTATGGCATATACGTGTCTTAGCTTATCTTATGTCAAAATTTTGACACGTGCACGACATTGATTGGCGCTCATTATGTTCCTTAAGTTGTCATTTACAGATTGTAAAGTGAATTCATTCTAAAAAGAAAATTCTCGATTTCTGTGACAATGGGCTTTCAACAAAACTGACGTCGCTTTTTCATTGACTAGTGAATAAATATAATATCATGTTTAGGTGTTAGCAATATTTTAAAACTTGGTAACTGGTTCTGTTTTCTGATTGATGTATTTAATAAAAATATTCTACAGATAATTTGTTTTATTTTTATTTTCCATTATTAACTAAGCGTTAATATTTTTTTTTAAATAAACATTACGAAAATATTCTATTTACCTGTATATTTATTCTGTTTTTTGCTTTGAAAACACTTTTTTTTTATTAATCATTTAAAAATACTCAAGATAGTGAAATGTAACTATATAAAATTATATATATTTAACTATGACAAATATTATTTAAATTATTTTTTATTGTTTAAAACCATATGTTTTCAACTAGTGATTTTGTTTTAATTAGTTCAATATATTGTTAAGGGTATCTCTTTGTCTAAAACTAAGTTGATAAGAAATCGAAATCGCTAAAAAAAAAAATAAATAATCATAGTCACTCTAACTTCGACATTCTCACAAATTAAATACTCAACTGAATGCGAAGCTGTTTTTAAGAAATTGAAATCCTTTTCAACAACACTAAATCAAATTATTTAATTTATTATATCGAACGCTTGGAAAAGTAAAATTAAGTTTAAAAAATACCAAAATGCTGAGTGTAGAATAAAAACAAGCCCTTATAGCATATCACAAATAACCTGTTATGTTTAAAATGTCTTTAAAAAATATTTCATTCATACTAAAGATGAAGATGAAATATTATTGTACGATTCTTTAGAAATTGTTAATTCTTTTTTCTTTCTTGTATCCGGTAGGCGAGACAAGTATACTATCCTGCATAACAGCACTACCTTAGACAGGACACGTGCAGGGCAGATTACAGTTAAAAATAATCTAATCATTACTTACATTACTTTTTACATTTCAAGTCTTGTCTTCATATATTATTATTGTATCTCGTAAGTACCTAAACATCTTTTTAAAATATTCCATACTTTTTTGCTCATTATTATTTTTGTTATTGATTACAATTAGATTTAATTTTTTTTTTGTGTCTTTTATCATTCATTTGCACTTGTCAGCACTGCTGTATTACGACAATCAGTAAATAAGACTACACACGGAATAATGATATGCTAGGTGAGGGGAAGGAATGTATTCCCCTTTCTCACCTTTTCGGCTATACGGGGATTTTACAGGGTCAAGGATGAGGCTGGAGGATTAATGTCAGAGTTAAAAGTTATCCTCGGTACTGATATTGGGATTTAAACTCATTGAGTTCTGTTTATCAGGTTGCCGGGCAACGCATGTTTTACACGAGCGTTACCCGCGCAGTCACCTCGCTTCCTCTCTCTCCCCAATATGTATTAATTTTCTGTCTGAGTTTTAGTTTTGTAGTTTTATAATTAAGATTCTTCCGTTTCATGGAAAAATAATCAACTGATTGACTGGTAAGGAATGTTTTATATTTTACCAGATTTAAATATAATGTTTGATTATAATATTATTCTCTATATTAAATAATTATAAAAAAGATCTTTGTACTGTACTTTTTTCAATGAAAATATATTATTTAGTTTTTAGACTTTTAGTTGTGTTGTTGGCTATAGCTGGTGTTTTCTGATGTATACATTTTTTTTCTCGTCGGCCCAAGACTTCCATATTGATATATTATAAACGAATGGAGATATGGATGTAAATTATTACTATTTATTTTTTAATGATCTATTTTAGATTCTTCCATAAATTTGCACAATGACTGAATGTTACCCTTACTAGATCTACCAGCTCTTTGAGGAAATCGCTATTGTTTTGGATGAGGGAATATTTATTCCGGTATTTATCGTATTTGCTGCATTGTAGAATAATGTACATAATGGGTTCTCGATGGAGTTGCATGTCGAACATTTATCATTTTTTTTCAACTTTAATTAGTGTCAAGTCGCGATTTGTACGACCATGTTTAATTCTCAATGTTGTAATAAGAATTATTATTAAGTAAGACTATTTATACTTTTTTTTTATTTAAACTTATTTACTGAAAAATATTACAATCTGTCTCTATGACATTTATAATAGAGTTCACAGATCACATTTACACTATATGTACAATAAATAAAACAAATTATACAGAAAAATAATATATATACAATAAACAAGAATAAAACAACCTAAAAATAAACAAATAAAAAGAACATATACACACCTATATACAATATTTACAATTTGGCGAGAGAACTCCAAACCAGACTTGTCCCTCCAACTGTGGAGAGAAAAGTATGACTCCACGAATTCCCTGCACTCCTCTCTCAACCGCATCACCAAGGCTAAACCCAGTGGAGATTGAGCAAGAGTGATTTAGCCATATATACTCATCTCGTGAGTGAAGAATCTGGCCATTGCCAGAACTCCAATATTTACCAACTGTAAAAGATCGCGGGGCCACTGCCGTTTTAACCTCCTTGGAGGATTTTATGGATGGGTGGTGCTGGATAGAGATTGTGCAAAGGGATTTGGATGATGGGTAAGCTTCTTGTGGAATTTGGAGAATTTTGCTGGGATAAGGTCTAGGACAAATGGGGTATTAAGGTCATGGTGTAGGGCTTTGTTGGTTACATAGAAAGCAGCATTGACTATTGTTCGAAGGACTTTGGATTGGAAGGATAGGATGCATTTGATGTTAGAAAATTTTGCTGTTCCCCACAGTTCAAGTCCGTTAGTCCAGATAGGTTTCAGTATTGCCTTGCAGATCAGTTTTCAATGGAAGGTTTAGATTTTCTATTTAGTAGCCGGTATAGTTGTCCATATCGTCGGTTTAGTTCCTGTCTTTTAAGTCTAGTGTGAGGATTCCACGTTAGTCGTTTGTCTAAGAGAAAGCCAAGGTACCGGACTGTGTCTGAGAAGGGAAGCTGAATGGAATTAAAGTTGACTGGTGGACAGGAACTGCGTCGGAGCATGAAGGTGAGGTGTTGGCATTTGGATTCGTTTACTTTAATACGCCATTTATTATACCAGTACTCAATCAGGGAGAGGTGTCTTTAAAGGTTAAAGGATGCTATATCAGGATCTGAGTCGGATGATAGAATGGCGGTGTCATCAGCAAAAGTTCCCAGGAAGGTATCGGGATGGACAGGGATATCGGCGGTAAAGAGGATGTAAAGGACGGGACCTAATACGCTACCTTGAGGAACACCTGCCTCAATTGGATAGCAATTCGAAAATTCGCTACCGCAGCGAACTCGGAAGGTACGATCTGAGAGGTAGGAACAGAGGACAAGGTATAAGTACTGAGGAAGATGGGTTTTCAACTTGGAAAGAAGCCCGGCGTGCCATACTCAGTCGAAAGCTTGAGCTATGTCCAGAAATGCACCCGAGAATTATTGCTTGCTTTCCAATGCTGCGGAAATATGATCAACCACTCGGAGTCCTTGTTGGACAGTGTAGTGTTGTGAACGAAATCCGAACTGATGGGAAGGAAGATTTTGGGATTCTATAAAGGGTAGGATTAGTTTCAGGAGGATCTTTTCAAAGATTTTTGAGAGAATTGGAAGTAGGCTAATTGGTCTGTAGGACGTTGAGGTGTTGGGAGGTTTGCCTGGTTTCGGAAACAGGATAATAGTGAAATGTTTCCACAAAAGAGGAAAGTGGGTGGTTCTTAGGATGGCATTATATAAGTAGGTGAGAAATATAACAGCTTTAGGAGGAAGTTGTCGAAGGATTTGAGAGGTAAGGAGGTCGTATCCAGGACATTTACGAAGAGGAAGTTTTTGTAAGTGATGTTTGACCTCAGAATGATTAACTGCCTTAGGGGGCAAGGAAAGTCGAATGGGTGATGTAAGGAATTCTGGTACTGGATTTTAGGATTTTGTTGGTGATCTTCCATAGGGAATTGTCATGAACAGAGAGGGAAATAGGAGTTGAAGGAGTGGGATCTGAATGTGGCCAATTCCTGCTTTAATTGTTTACTGTAATAATTATAGGAGCGACGATCTATGGGGTGTCTAGTACGTTGCCATAATAATCTGGCACGGCATTTGGTATGGATTAGGTCTATGAGGTGTTGAGGTAACTTATTTTTCTTGGGAGTTCTTGAGGAGTGGTTTGGATAGGAAGCAGTCCAGATTGCTTGTTGGATAGGGGTGGTGAAAAGGTGTACGGCATTGTCAAGGTCATTTGGGGTTTTCAGAGTTATTCTGAGGTCAATTTTATCGAAAAGGACCTAAGCCACTGTGGATGAAAAAATCAAGGATATCGGGATTGCGGTTAGGATCTGTGGGCCAGTAGGTAGGTGAGTTAGGAGGAAGGATACTGAACCGTTGGGAATTGAGTGCAGATAACAATGTTCTGCCACGAGAGTTCGTGGTTCTAGAACCCCATTGATGGTGTTTGCGTTTATATCTCCACCCAGGATGAAATGATGTCCTAAGGAGTTGAGAAGAGAACTGAACTGGATATTGGATATGGATCTATTAGGAGGGCAATATGCTGATGACATAGTGACGGGAAAGGAGAAGGTTTTGATTACGATAGCGGTTGATTGTAGGAAATCTTGTGTCGGTAATGAGAGCTGGTGATGAGAAAGTGAGTGGTGTACAATAACAGCAGTACCGGCATGTGCTTTACCGTCAGGATGGTCAGTACCGTATGTTATGTATTCAGGTATTTTTAAATGCTGTTTTCTGGTCAGTCGTGTTTCCGTAATTAGTGCTACGTCGACGTTCTTGTCCAGTAATAAATCTGTTAATTCGTCAACGTGATTTCTAACACCATTCCGATGTGACTACATTAACACCATTCCAAAGGAGAATGGATACGGGTTTCGGGATGTGAGTCATTAAGGATATTTTGAAGGAGAGATGAGGTGAGATACGAGATTTGTGAGGAGTGATATGAGTGGAGTAACTAAGGATTTAAAATCGGTAAGGAAAGATGCCAGCAAACTGGTGAGAATTTGTTGTTGATGGTTAGGTTTATTCGGATCAATAGGATTTTGAGGTTGGAATTGAGGTTGTTGTTGCAGCAGGGCTTGACAGTTATCGGTTGAGCTCTTACCTCTAAGTAGCTGGGAAAATGATACACCATTGTTTACTATTCGAGAAGGCTCTCTCTCTCTTCTTGGTCTTCCTGCTTCATCTTGAATCCGGTTTTTCTGGTGTCTGGGTTTGAGATTCTTGTAAATTTCGCAGCCTTTGTAGTTGGCCGGGTGTCCTTCCAAGCATAGGGCACACACTGCAGGATCTTGTATCGGTTTTGTGCACTCCACTGATTTGTGCTGTCCACCGCATTTTACGCAACGCGGCAGATGGTGACAATAAGTTTTCGTGTGGCCATACGCCTAACAATTATGCCACTGCACGATTTCTCTCTTGGGGTATGGTTTCTTTACTTTCACCATTGTGTAATATAATCTTGTGATTTCGTATATTTTCTCAATACCAGGTGGTGGATCTAGATCCACGAAAAATAAAGGTAGTGGAACTTTATTTTTTACTCCAGGCTGCTCCTTATTCTCCTTCAGAACGTTGGTTACTTGACGTACTTTGAAAGCGCCGCTAGTTCTTCTTTGATCACTTCAGTTGGGGTTGAGGGGTGTAAATTTCTTATTACTACTCGTAACGATCTCTCCTGCCTAAGCTGGTACGCATGAAAATTCGCTTTAGTTTCTGATAGGTACTTCATCATTATTCGGTAGGTTTCAGCAGTATCTGGTGTTATTTTTGTATCGCTGGTCCTGTTAAGACATGAATAACTGCCAGAGCAGATTTATTTAGTTGGGTGCAGGACAACTGGAATTTTTTTATATTTTTCACAAATATCGGAGGAGGAAATATTGGAGGTTCTATGAGTATTGCTGCAGACTACATTATCTCTCGGTCATTTTGAAGCACTTAGTAGGTGTTTGGAGTAAAGAAAAGGGATTCTTCGATCATTTCTTGAGAAAAAGTTCCTGGTTGTGGCTGAGGTTCTGGATCTGAAGTGTTCACTTTTGTTGTTGGAGATGTTTCTCGTAGGCAGCGACGAGTTCTTTGTTTGGCTGGTGAGCTAACTCCGTCTGACCAAGTCCTCTTGGGCACCTTACTGGACATCACTTGGTGAGTATACCGCATACCATAAGAGAAGGAAGAAAGAATGAAAGGAAAAAAAATTATTAAAAAAAAATATGTCAACAACAATATCAACTGCTCTGGTGTACACGTGAAATGTATTCAATGAAAAAATCAGAGAGATTCCCCTTAAAAATAGGCAAATACTGAGAGACCACTTGAGAGCACAACCTTCCAATCAGCTGATCCACTGCCTTCTCAAGACTGTTTAACTTAACACGAGTGTTGGAGAACCATGGGCGTAGGGAAACGTTAGGTTGGATAGTGAAACGATCTATACCTTTCCTACTTGACTCCCAGGTATACCTATACTGTCTTTAACCAATAAAGTCTTTTTGAACTCATATAAGAATTTCTTGTCAAGGTTATTCGTATTTTTTGCTCTTTCAGAACACCGTTCTTCTATCATATCAGCTCGTTCATTCCCATACAAACCTACATGGCCCATTGAACCTTAAACTTGTTATTTCTGAGAGTTTCTTTTGACGTAAAAGTTAGTTGTTGATATGCGAGAAAACTTTTTTATGGTCTGGCTATGTTTGATTGAAGTAATCGGATATGATGAGCAGTTTTTGTCTTAGACTTGGCCTAGAAAAGAAAAACGGAGATTCGGGACAAACTGCTAACATTGCTTCAAAACTTATAAAAGGAATGTAATCGAAGTGCATGCCAATAAAAAATCCGTGTCAGTTGTGAAAAAAATAAGACGAATAATTAAAGATTGCGTTATTTCTTTTTAACATCCTCCAATTAGGTCAAATTTAAATTATAGGCAAATGAAAGAAGGTCAAGATCAAGAACTAATAAATCAAGTTCACTACATTCCAAATAATAGGGGGATTCATGAATAGGGGATAAATAAGAGGGATATATCTTTAAAAAATATGACCCATAGGCAAAGTATGAAGAAGAAATAAACATTTTTGGAAAAAATCGAGGGTATGAACTAATAGATTATCTATTGTTTGAAGGCAGCTTTGCAGAGCTACTGTTTTTTTATTATTTTCGTTTGGCGCTAATTACTATGAAGATTTTTGGTCTCCTTACAGACTTATATTTCAAGTCACTCAGTCTCATGTTTCTACGGACCATGGTCTCTATTCCATGAGTATAATCAAATTTTAACTTTAACGACTGATAAAATGAACAAAACACATCTTTACCAGATAACATTAAGTAAACAAATAGTATTAATCAAACAGTCTTGACAAACATGGATCGTAAACTGGCAATCGAAACATCAAATCTATGAAATGATTCATTAAACTAAAATAATTCTTTTTTCTAATCCCAACCCCACGACAAGTAACCATATTTATTGTGGTAAATGACTACCAAGGTTGAAACCAGTGATAACTATGATTTTCAGAAAACATCAGCGTTGCGAATGATTTAATAAGAGCTGCTAGATTGATAGCAACTGTAGTCAATCGATGATTGAAAAATGATGGCTTTAGTGGAGATTTCCAAATACTTCATAGTTCAGAATTTCGTCCAATTTTAACCCTCAAATCTAGGGTAATTCCTACGAGTCAATTTACCATTCCTATTGCTACCTTCACTGATTCCTGATTATCTATAATACTTTTATAATAATGGAAAAAAAAGTAAATTAATCATGTAATATTATTATCTATTAATATATTAAAAGAGCTGGAATTTAAATATTAGAAGTTTTTCAGGCTATTTATGTGGAAAGTACAAGGTCATAATCCTTTAATTATAATAATATCAGAAAAACGATTCTTGTCATACAAGTTATAATATTAATTAACTACAGTAGTTTTAATCAACTTAATAATTAAATATTAAAGCTATTATCAATATAATTAAAGTTTGAAGAATTAAAATTATTCGTGTTCTAAAAAGAATTTTTAATCATGTCAGAAGTAATGACTAGCTACATAACGATGACATTATATTCCTAACATTCAAGACCATTTTAGTGAGTTTGTCATTGGCTGGAAAATAACTACGTCTATTTCATCATAATGAAATTAAAACTCATATTTTTTTATATCATTTTTAGAAATTAATTAGTCACTAATTATTCATCTTTAGAAACGTACGAGAAGTAATGATTATTAATGTGGACCGAGGAAATTTTCATAATGAAAACATAGGAGCATATTAAAAAAAATTTAAAAATTCATTTGGCTAATATCGTTTATTGTTAACAATCAACATAATGGCTTCATTGCAATATCCAGTAACCTTTTATATGTATTATTCTTCTGTAGATGAACCACAAAGATATGAATTCGTCTCACACCATTTACCTGAAAATTCCGTTTGATTTATTTTATTAACATGTTTTTTTTATACATACAGCATGCCTCATTGCTATTTCATAAAATATAAATTACATAGAGAAAAAATTCAAAATCGATACAGTGCTTACCTTGCATAGTTTAATAAGTTTATAACTTTAAATTTTGACATTCTACTATTAGTATTTTTTTACTAAACCTTTACTTTTGAAATAAAAAATACCTTTTGAATCGAATATTTAGGAATGTACTGAATAAATATATTAATGACTCTGCTAGGAATTTAAATCAGACATATTAGTTTAAATCTTTCCCATTTCTCCTTATGAGGCTCATATTTTACAGCCAATTTATCAAATATGTCCAGCTAGAAAATATTTAAATTTTTAGTAGATTCCATGCATATCTTGCCTCTTCTAGGTTTCATGTTTCCTTGAATCATGTCATTATAAGACGTAGAATGTTAATTAATGTTTTCAATCATGGACATCTGCTTTTACCTAAAAAATACTAACAAAATTTTATATAATTCCAAAAAAGGTAATGGCTTAAGCAATACAGAATGTCGTAGGATCTGCCCATATTCGATGGTGGCCGAAAATCCATAGCTTGTCCCACATTCAATTAAGATATTATAAATTTATAAGATTATAAATCAGATAACGGTAAGAGAAATATCATTGGTTGTAGATCCTTTCATTATGTTTTTGTCTTTCAAGCTGGATTCCTTTATTAATTTGACAACAGTTTCTGTTATCTTCTGTTATCCTTCCTCACTCTACTGCACTAAATATTTTGTATAGAAGAGACGACGAAGAAGAAAAAGTCATTTTATTAATCAAAATTACATGATATTAATTACAAAACAAATTTTATTTTTTATTTAAACCGAAAATCAGACGTACTACATGGTCTGTTGACCGTCAGAGGAGACTGTTTCATAAAAAAATTAAATGTCAATCTATTTATACATAAGTAATTAATAAGAACAAATATATTTTCTATGCAAAAGTTATAAAAATCTTTTAATTACAAAAGGAGTGGTACCTATATTCTCCAATTTATTAATTGTTAAATTTTCTGATGAGTATATTATTGTGATATTTATAAATTTAAAAAAAAGATAAAAATACAAAAAATAGAAGAATTAATAGAATAAAACAAATAAATAAGGATAATAATAGACACTTATAGATAATAAGATAGAATATATAAATAACTAAACTAAAAAAATAGCAATAAACGAATTGAAAATCAGTAGGAGAAAGCAGACATGCAGTAATTTACCAATTCTATCCATTTTTTGCCATTTATTAAATCTATCTTTTGTTCCCGAGATAAATTTCTAGATTTTAACCACTTAATTCTAAATTCAGAGAGTATCGGACAAGCAGCGAGTATGTGATAGATATCTTCTGTTTCGTTTGTATTACACATGCTACAAAGATAATAAATATTTTCATCAGGGGAAATCCCTGATATATTTACCTATTTCTGAGTTTTTAAAAATAATTTTACTGATTTTATTCTCTTATCTGCCAAAGTATCTCAGCAGCTTTTTCAAATTGCCAAACTTGTTACATATAAAAGATTCAAAATATTTTATTTCCTTTATATAAACAATAACGTCTAAATTATGCCTAAATGCATTGCAAGCGAGTTACTGAGGAAAAAAGTAAGTTTTCATGGCGGTTTTCCAATATCGAGAAAAATACACAAGAGATGGAAACTAATTTTACGGATTACGGATCAAATTAGCACATTGTAATTTTGTAATTGTTGTTTTCTAACATAAGTTGCTAACAGCTAGTGGAGAGGGAAAGTAATTAAATCAATATGTTATTTCATTTGAATTAAGTATCAATATATTTGTACATACTAAGAAAACTATTATATGAGTGGGTCCGTTTCAAAGAGGGACATTTTTTATATAAAGCCATTCATATGTTTTAAGAATTTTTAGGGATGTTTAACATATTATTATTGATTCTGCCAACGTTTTGCTGATAACCATGCATCCTTATACTGAAGTATAACTTCATTGCTAGTTACCTCGCAGTTATTTTTAAACTACCATTTCATTTTGTAGCGAATATCCGATGTTAACTTTGCATTCCCAGTTACCGATAATAGTTACAAGGCGATGAGATACCTTTTAACAGCTTACTTATTAGATGATATAGGATCAGTTTTAATTTTTTTAAATATATTTTATTAGAACGACAGTGAAAAACTTTTATCTTACAATTATAATAAAAAATAAATCTACAATTTGAAAAATAACTGTTTTTCATTTGAAAAAAAAATAACAGCCATTTATAATTGTCATTCAAAGTAATGAATAACTATATTTATTTTAATTATATTTACCATTATCGCATTCGTTTTTGGATTCCATTACGCATCGATTTGGAAATCTTTTGTATTCCGTTCCACCATTTCCATCAGGCTGCTTTGCACAAACTGGACTAAATATCGTCGTACAAACTTTTGAACATTGTGTTGTTGTCTGTGAAACAACAAGACCAGCAAGGCCTAAAAAGATGTTTCAGAAGTTTTAATCATTAAATCATTTTACTTATTTTAATTTTTAAATTATAACTTTGCACAGTTTATGAAACTGGTATTCACGTTGCTAACTAGTAACAATTAAACCTTTTCATCTATATCAATGGACCTATTTGCCATCTGTATCAATATTTTTGGCTATTGATCTGCATGTTCATCTACGTCCCAATTACTTCTTGCATATATTTTTTTGGTTTGTTGGGTTTCGGCCACCCATACCTTTGTAGAAAATCGGCCAGCCTGTTCACAATAAACTAGCATACGTCGAAAAAATTCCCTAAAATACCAACAAAAAAAAAAGGCACCAGTATTAACAAGATCTGGGCGTATTGATTCAACATTTTATCAATTATTTAAAATGTATTTGTTTTGTTCTATACAGTCCCCAGAGAAATAGATTCACTTTATTATATAAATGGTATTGTAAATCACTTTTAAAAATTTCAGATGGTAATTTAAAACGTTTTTTAATTCTAAACTAAAAGTTAAAATTTATGTAAAAAAGTACAAAAGTTACAAGTTAAAATTGTCTTTAAAAAAGCCAGAATTTAAAGCAAAGTGAGATTTAAAATATAATAATAACAATAAAATCTTATTAGAAACAACGTAAAATAATTTTTGTACTCACCCAATGAAGTAAGTTGACACACCAGATATTTGTTTTTCTTTCTTTCTTTATTATTTTTTTTTTTTATTGTAGAAATTAAATTAAGTAATTTGAACTATGTTACTTATGTAGAAATAAATCAGTAATATTAATACAAAATATTAAAGTAATATTTATACAAAAATTTTAAAGAAAGTTATTGCTTCCTTACAATAAATGGAAGGGTTGTTAGAAAAAATGTACCCAGAATAAAAAATGTTATCGTATTTTACGTTTTAGACATCTGAGAACAAATATGGCTGTAGTTTAATCGATTTGATAAGCATGTCACCTACTGCTGTTGATTGTCATGATAGTTCTAGATATTTTGCATTTGGTATTAACTTGGAGAGGCTGAGTGGCCGAGGTGGCTAACGCGTTTGGACAGCACCGCGTTATCCGGTAACTGATCGATGATGATTAGATAAAATAAGTTCACGTCCCAAGGTTTTTAACTCTGACATTAATCCACTGCTCTCACCCCCTGGCCCGGGAAAACCCCGTATAGCATGGGAAGGGGAAGAATCAAAAAAAATAAAAAAGAAAAGAAAAGAAAGGTTGGCATTAACCATACCAATTTCATAAAGTTCCATGCAATACTTCTGGAATACATTTTTACTTAACTTAATGTTAGAAATTATCAATAAATATGAGTATATAAATTTTTTTTTTTCATTGAAAATAATTGGTGTATCTATTCTATTTTGTTAAATAATTTTTATGTTCATCCCTGAAACCTTTTTTCATCATAGATTTTTCAATATTTTCAAATTTTCAATAAAATGAAGTCATTTAATGGTGTTAAATTTATTATGGTGCTAACATTGCAAAACTTAGACAGAAATTGAACATATACAATTACTTACTAAAACCTATTTGGACTTACGGATAACAGATATTTGGAACTGCTAAAAAGATTCACTTAAACAAACTTCAAATCTCTCAAGCAAAAACATTCAGAACAATTAAAAAAGCATCTTGGTACGTTAGCAACATAACCTTACATACTGACCTCCATATGCCGACTGTTAACGAACACATACGAATTCATTACAAACGATTCCATGAAAACTTACAAGGACATCCTAATACACTTATAAATGACATGGCCACTACGAATATACCAGGTAACGTCTGTAGGAGACTGAAGAGGAGCTGGATGAGGGACCTCCTCGCCTAATGTAGATATCATGCCGAGTTAGGTGCCGCTGGGCACTGATCCTCATAATGCCTTTCATGACATTATTTTTTCCAACGACCTCACATTCACTGGTTGTCATTACCACTATGACAGGTGTGAATAAAAAAAATTAAACCAAAAAAAAAAATTTATTAATCTTATCTCCAATAATATAAACATTTTTGTAACGTTGGATCTGAGAAAGCATTTCATTTGGAATTGGAGAATAAAAGATGACTAAAAGAAAATAATTTTTTAATATTTCTGCAAGCCCTCCAAATATCACAGAATTCGTTTTAAAAAAAGTATTTTGCAAAACATCACTTATTATTAATAATATAAAATTATTCTTTGCTGAAAGTTATTTATTTAATTTTAGATTTACTTACATAGAAAACCAATCAGGAATGTCCAAAGCTTCATGTTGCATTCGCCAAATGGCACAGTTTTGCCAACTATATAGATTAGTCTTGTGGCATATACGTGTCTTATCTTAGCTTATCTTATGTCAAAATTTTGACACGTGCACGACGTTGATTGGCGCTCATTATGTTCCTTAAGTTGTCATTCACCGATTGTAAAGTGAATTCATTCTAAAAAGAAAATTCTCGATTCCTGTGACAATGGGCTTTCAACAAAACTGACGTCGCTTTTTCATTGACTAGTGAATAAATATAATATCATGTTTAGGTGCTAGCAATATTTTAAAACTTGGTAACTGGTTCTATTTTCTGATTGATGTATTTAATAAAAATATTCTACAGATAATTTGTTTTATTTTTATTTGGCATTATTAACAAAGCGTTAATATATTTTTTTAAATAAACATTGCGAAAATATTCTATTTACCTGCATATTTATTCTGTTTTTTGCTTTGAAAACACTTTTTTTTTTTATTATTCATTTAAAAATACTCAAGATAGTGAAATGTAACTATATAAAATTATATATATTTAACTATGACAAATATTATTTAAATTATTTTTTATTGTTTAAAACCATATGTTTTCAACTCGTGATTTTGTTTTAATTAGTTCAATATAGTGTTATGGGTATCTCTTTGTCTAAAACTAAGTTGATAAGAAATCAAATTCGCTAAAAAAAAAAAAAAATAATCATAGTCACTCTAACTTCGACATCCTCACAAATTAAATACTCAATTGAATGCGAAGAGGAAGAATTGGACAAGACTGAAGCTGTTCTTAAGAAATTGAAATCCTTCTCAACAACACTAAATAAAATTATTTAATTTATTATATCGAACGCTTGGAAAAGTAAAATTAAGTTTAAAAAAATACCAAAATGCTGAGTGTAGAATAAAAACAAGCTCTTATAGCATATCACAAATAACCTGTTACTGCTTTAATGTTAATAAAAAATCCCTTTAAAATAGTTTTCCTTTATTAAGAATAAAATATTGCAGACACATTCTTTATCGTCCTAAGAAGTATTCCTATAACCTGTTAAGACGCCCCATCTCTGCCTGAATAACTGTTCTTTTTTTTTTTATTCTATCTCTCTAATACGTTCAAACATCTTCAGAATATATCAGTCCGTGGAATTTCTAGCTTTCTGGACGTGGTGCATTTGCAATTTAAATAGCTTACTAAGTAGAATGTAAATGGTTTCTTCTTCATGCATGTCACTAAACTGCAATGTAATGTAAGACAGACTTATTTTATTACAGCCTTTATTGAATAACAATCCAGTTTCGCGGTAGGTTCCGGAACCTTATTCGGTAACAGGTTCCAACAAAGGTCCCGAAATAGTTCCTAATTAAGGAGCGACCTGGTGCTACTATCTTACTAGGTGTAGCCGTCAAGTATTAATAACCTCTGTCTTCTTTTTTTTTTTCAGGAAATAACAAGATAAAGAGAAAGAAACTTTGGAATGCAGGACCGCGTCCCTACGGAAAAATATTTTTAGTGCTCCATCCAATCTTATTAGTTGGCCCAGGGGGTACATTTATTTCCGAAAATATTTATTACTTTTTTGGGCGAGGCCGAAAAAATATCTTGTTTTTCGGCCATTCTCATTTGTTTGACAAGCCTGAAAGCGTTGTAACATCAAGCTATTAAATAACTCTTGTCATCAACGAAATTTCTCATCCTAGAGATAGACTCAGCTCATATTGAATTTGGGCGTTTATAGCTTTTTCTCTTTCTTCTTTCAAATATTAAAGTCTTAAATATTTAAAAAAAATTTCACTACATGAAGGTGAAAACGCAAATTAAAAATATTTACGCATAAATGTGTACATTTATTAATAAATTAATTACAGAAGAATAATTTATAAAATATGAATGCACAGATGCTGCAATAATTTTTACTTTTTTTAAGGGTGATCTATGATTTTTAAATAATTTTTAAAGTTTGAAAAAAATATTCTTATATTGTAAATTATTAAAACAAAATAATGCTTAACATTAATTTTAAATAATCCTTCTCGCCTAAATCAAGGAAGTAAATAATGAAAAGGAAGAGGTACTGCTGTGTGCTATCCTTCCTCATGCCTCTGATGCCATATCATTATTTACAACAAATCTGCTGATTGGCAATGCATGACAGGTGCGGGTAGATATTTTAAATTAAAAAAATATATAAATAATTAACAATATTTATAAATTTTCAAATTTTTTTTATTTCAACTTTACATTTGCCTTTTCCAAATGTTTACACTTTACGACAGTATTTGTTCAGATATAACTTAACATAGTATCGATAAAATATCAATATTTTACCTTATAAGGTTAGTTGGTTTCGGTTTTCAATCATAGAAAAGTTTTGAGTAAATGTTTTACAAATGGTTTTGCAGTTTGAAGTAAGTATCAAATCTCAAGTGTTTCAACTTGTTGTTGTCAAATTATTTGGTGGAGACGGTGTTAAATAATTCCTATATTATATTAAAACATCAGGGATAGTTTGGCCCATGAACTTTCATAAAAATTATTTTAAAAGTTTATTATTTAATTTATATTGATGTTGCACACAAAAATATGGCACAGATTTGTAATACAAGATATACGGTTTTCTAAACTAAATGAAGAAGAAATTTTGTTCTTACATATTTCTAATAGTTTCTTAGACCTTATACTCTTCTTTACATCAGTTTTTATCTTTTTCTTTTGGTTCATGATGTTGAAATACGTTTAGTATCGGAATACATTTGCTTTTGGCGAAGATCATCCTGTTTTGTTTTTAACTTCGAAAGAAAGGGAGTAAAAAAGTCGAAGATTAGCAGAAACTGAGAAAAAATTGAGAAAAAATAATACAAAGAAAAGATTAATTTTTTCTTCGTCGTCTTCAGAAAACCGTAAATCTTCTAATAAAAATCTTTCGTCAATTTTTTATAACATACAATTTAAGAGCTATTGAAGCATGTTTTATTTTACTTATTTGAAGGATATATATATATATATATGTATTATATATATATATATATATATATATAAAATATATTTATATTAATATAATATCGTCTATAATTAGTCAACAAGAACAATTCATATTTAGATTTTCAAAAAATAAATAAGAGACCATTTTTTTATGTTGAAAGTACTTAGCAGAATGCGAGGGTCTATTTTATACTAAAAATTTTATTTTTACTGTTCCGAATATGTCATATACGAATACATAACACCTCTATATCGGAGGCATGTCCTAGTGAACATATTTTGTTTAATCTGTAAAATTAATATTAACTAGCTCTGAAGTCATAGTGTTTCATTTAAGTTAGTCCTGCATCCATAACTCTTTAATTCCTCTCAAAGTTCATCTGTAAGTTCTACATATACCAAGCAACCATACTGAAAGCGGTAAATTATTAATAAGCGATTGTCTAAGTAAGTATATTTAGTCAAGCATGAGACAGAGCTTGAACATTTTTTCCCAGAAAAAATTGAATTGAACGTTTTTTGAGTGCTTAATAATTACGTTACTGTCTTATAATCATTATTATATACAACAAAACATACATACTTTACAATTATGATTAGGATTTAAAATATAAAGCACCTGCATAATTTATGCTTATATAGTTATTGTATCATTGGGGGTTAAAAGAAAAATAAATCGATAGCCAAGGCTGACACGGCTATCAGAAAGAGACAGAAGAACAGTTGGATGAGAGACACTAGCGAATCCAGGATTTAATTTTGGGGGAGCTTCAGCCCGAAAGATTTTTTTTCATATATATATATATATATATATATATATATATATATATATATATATATATATATATATATATATATATATAACGATAATTAATTTTAAAAAATAAAAAAAAGAAATGAACTACCTATATGAAATGGTGTTTAAGTGATTCTTGAAGTCCTAATAAATGGAATTACACGAACAATAATACTTTAAGAGATAGTTTTGATATTTTTTTTCTATAAAAAGTGGTTATATTTTACCGTTTTTGGAGGGGGAGAGGCTTCAGCCCGAAATTCCCCCCCCCCGTAAATCCGCCTGTGATTAGAGATCTTCTTTCCTAAATAAAGGAGTTAAGCAGAGAAAGGAAAGAAGTGTTGCTGGGTACTACTTTCTCATGTCTGAAATGACAAGAACAACTTCAACAACACATTTGCTGATTGGCACATCCTTGACAGGAGTCAATGAAGGCATGAAAAGAAAAATTAATTAAATAAATTGTTTTAATTTATAAAAAAACAAATCTTCCGTATCATTAATTTTTCATTTTAAAGTAATCTGGTTGTATTGGATTAGCCTGTATAACAGAAACGCTGTAGCAAGTAAACAGTCGTTGAAATGTGTTGAGTTAGGAAGGTGGTGAAGACGTGTGGGGAAACCTGAGAACCGGAGAGGAGGATAGAGCCCAGCCACCACAAATCCTAAAAGTTAAATAGAAAAGATAATATCCCGGTTTGAAATCTATATGGGCTCTCCTTTGTAGCATTATCTCCGGCTCCGATATACGGCCCCCTCCAGCATCATAAACTTCTTAGTAACCGGTGTCGCATTTCCATTCGAACCCAAGAACCATGATTTATATGTGTTAATTACGGGAAAAAATAGAATCATTAACAGGACGAAGACACGCCTTAGCGAGGAGGCATTCACCGGACCAACCTCACGAACTTAAATGAATAAAGATTTTTCTGGCAGAGATGGATCGTTCCATCGAGGATCCTTTAAGTCTTCGGTACCATCCTCTCTCTTCCGCAAATCCATTCTCAATAGCGACTGTCTCCCGGGCAAGGTGGCTCAGATTCGTGACTTTCTAATGCATGCCTCGCGAGTCTATGCAATTTTTGTGAGAATTCATTTGTTAATTTTTAAAGGCAAAAAAACAATAAAATGGTGGGGAAAACATCAAAAGATGCATTGTTTATATGAATTTAGTTCATCACACTGGCTGATCCACGAGGAGAGGGGATACTGGATTCATTTGCGCTGTTTATTTTTCATCGGTCCATATTTGTTTTTTTATTGCATTACCCCCTATCCAGAATTTCTGGCATACGGGGGAGGAGGGGAGGGTTAATCTTGAAGTACAACCAGAGTGGGAAGGTCGAGTTTCATTCCTTAGATACGCCGCGAAA